TCCTTCTCATTAGGTGGCCAGAGTATTTGAGTTTCATCTTCAGTATCTGGCCTTCTAAAGAGCTGTCATAGGTGGTTCCATTAACAACCTACTGTTGAGGTCCCTGCTAGCCAGGTGACTTACAGACCCACTAAACCAAGTGCCAATGAGATTCAGTCAGGCGGAGATTCGCTCTGTTTTCTTTATTCAGCTGAGCAAAGCAACCGGGTGTCTGCTCCCTACACGCAGGCAGGAAGCGATACACCCCACATTTCACCAACTCATCCTTCTTATACCTTTTTCCTTAATCTCACCCCCACTGTTCCCTCACCCAATCCCCACTCAGGGTCTGCTTGACCCTTGCATGTCTGACGCATGCATGTTTATCTACGTCTAATCCCCCTCACAGGTGATCACTGAGTGCCAGTCTTCTTCACACTACCTCTTTGTCTTACTTTATCAACATTCTTTTGCCTTCCCTTTTCCTCTCCAAAGCAAGCAGTTTTACAAAAACCAAATGGCTAACCAAGCTCCTATGCAAGCGGCTTTTTGCAAAAGCAAATAGCGTTAGTTAAGCTAATCAGGCTCCTTCACTACTCTCCTGCATAGCATATACTGGGGGGGGGGTTCAGGCCCCCCAGTAACGTGCCTGCACTGGACAAGTGTGGGGAGAGGATCAGGGCTCTGGGAGCAGGGTTTTAGAGATACTGCAGGGACTGACAGGACTCCTACAGAGAGGGGCCAGGTATCAGGGAGGATGGGAGGAAGGAGGAGGCTGGGAACTCCAAGGAAAGGAAGCGGTGGGAAGGGGTTGAAGGGCATGTACACCAATGCTAGGAGCATGGGTAATAAGCAGGAAGAGCTTGAAGCCCTCCTGGGAATAGGAGGGTATGACCTGGTGGGAATCACAGAAACTTGGTGGGATGAAAAGCAAGTCTGGAATGTGAACATAGAAGGGTATCACCTTTTTAGAAAGGACAGGAAGGGAAAGGGGTGGGGGCGTGGCTTTATACATCAGGAAAGGGATAGGATGCAGTGAGATAGAATGCAGCACAGCTGGGGATTCGGTTGAGGCAGTCTGGGTGAAACTTAGGGGTTTTGACAGGGAAAGAGACCTGACAGTGGGGGTATGTTATCACCCTCCAGGTCAACTTGAGACCCTGGATGATGTCCTGACAGGCCAGATTCTAAGGATATCTCAGGGGAGAGACACAGTAATTATGGGAGATTTCAATCTCCCAGATATTAGTTGGGAGACTCACTCCGTGGTTACAGCCAGGTCAAGTCACTTCCTAGAAGCTATAGAGGGAGGGTTTTTCACACAGAGGGTCTGAGAGGCAACAAGGGGGGCAAACATCCTTGACTTGGTCTTGACCAATAGGGAGGAGCTGATAGATGAAGTACAGATTAGGGGAGCTCTGGATGCGAGTGATCATTCCATCCTTTGCTTTGAGATCGGGACTGGGGATGTGTAGCAGGTCAAGCACTAGAAGCTGGGACTTCAAGAGGGCCAACTTTGGTCAACTGAAGGCCAGACTGGAGAAAGTCTCCTGGGATAGGTTACTGGAAGGTAAGCAAGTTGAGGAGGGGTGGATAGCACTCAAAAGGGAGGTTTTGGAGGCGCAAGCCTCGACAATACCTCTAGTTAGTAAGGTGGGGAGGTGGACGAGTGCCACCATGGATGCGAAAGGAGGTGGTTAGAGGGATTAGACGAAAGAGGAACCTCCATAGGAAATGGGTACTGGGGCAAGTAGACAAAAGGGTATACCGGGAGGAGGAGGCCCGTTGCAGAAGGATTCTTCGCAAGGCTAAGGCTGATTACAAGCTGAGACTTGCCAAGAATATCAAGAGCAACAAAAAGGGCTTCTATCAGCATGTAAATAGGAAGAGGAAGGGGAGACAAGTGGTGGGACCACTAAATAAGGAGGAAGGAGATCCAGTGGCTGATGTGAGGGAACAGGCACAGATGCTAAATGACTATTTTGCCTCTATGTTCTCCCCAAAGCAGGACGTGGGATATCCGCATAGGAGATTAGATGAGGCTGGGGACTTAGGGGCACAGATTAGAATCACCCCTCTTGAAGTCGAGGGGCTGTTCAGGGCATTGGACATTACAAAGGCGCCAGGCCCTGATGGGTTACACCCGAGAGTCCTTAGAGAGTTGGCAGGGGTTCTCTCACGCCCAATGGCCTCCATTTTTGAGACCTCGTGGAGAACGGGTGAAGTTCCAGAGGACTGGAGAGTGGCATCAGTGGTCCCAATTTTCAAAAAGGGTAGTAGAAGGGACATGGGGAAGGACCTGTTAGCCTTACGTCCATTGTAGGAAAAACAGTGGAAAGGCTCATAATAGAGAGAGATCTAGTGATGCTAGATAGGGAAGGGAGGCTGACAGCCACACAACATGGCTTCCGCAAAAACAGTTCCTGCCAGACAAACCGTGTGGAATTCTATGACAAGGTTTCGAGATGGCTAGATGGAGGGGATGCAGTGGATGTGGTATACCTGGATTTCAGCAAGGCCTTTGACAAAGTGCCCCATGATCTCCTGGTGCAGAAACTGAGGAGTTTTGGGATACACCAAAGCACTGTCCGGTGGATTAGGGCATGGTTGACTGATCGAAAGCAGAAGGTAACCATTAGCGGGGAATCATCAGGATGGTGGCCAGTGACAGGCGGGGTCCCCCAGGGCTCTGTCCTGGGGCTGATCCTGTTTAATCTTTTCATTAATGACATGGAAGAAGGGGTGAACAGTCTGCTGATCAAATTTGCAGATGACACTAAAACTGGAGCAGTGGCCACAACTGAGGAGCAGGTACTCCAGATTCAAAAGGATCTGGACAGACTATGGAAGTGGGCAGGAGACAACAGGATGGCGTTCAGTGTGGACAAGTGCAAGGTCTTGCACTTGGGGCATAGGAATAGCTGTCATAAGTACAGGTTAGGTGACAAGTGGCTGGAGAGCAGCACTTGTGAAAGGGACCTCGGGGTACTGGTTGACTGCAGGCTAAACATGAGTCAGCAGTGGGATGCAGTGGTCAAGAGGGCGAACGCCACCCTTGGTTGCATAGCCAGAAGTGTGGCTTCTAGATCAAGAGAGGTATTACTACCACTCTACATGACTCTGGTGCGCCCTCAACTGGAGTATTGTGCTCAGTTTTGGGCCCCTCATTACAGAAAGGATATAGCCAGGTTAGAATCAGTGCAGCGTAGGGCCACAAGGTTGGTGGCCGGTTTGCAGGGGATGCCGTATGAGGCGAGACTGAGGGAACTGGGTCTCTTCAGCCTGGAGAAGAGGAGACTCAGAGGGGATATGTTGGTGACATACAGGTATGTGAGGGGATGACACATGGAGATGGGTAGAGACCTGTTCTCCCCTGCAGAGGAAGGCAGGACGCCCTCCAATGGAGCAAAGCTCAGGGAGCCAAGGTTCCATTTTGATGCCAGGAAGCATTTCCTGACAGTTAGGACCCCGAGGGTGTGCAATGGGCTTCCACGAGAGGTCGTTGAGGCCCCATCGGTAGGGGTGTTCAAGGATAGGCTGGACGTCCACATGGTAGGCATGTCGTGAGCGGAGCCGGCTGGTGCCGGAGGTCAGACTAGATGGTTCGGGAGAC